GTTACAAGTGCTGATGTGTTCAGTACTTTGAAAAGCAAACAGAAACTTGTATTACTTGAGTTTAACTTAACTCTGTTTTAACCCGCTCTTTGCACAGTAGCATACACCCACATATGTGCTCACACACACGGCCATTAATTCTGTTGGGTGTATTTCTGAAGCTGGCAGTTTTTTATTAGTTTTTAATCTTGTGGACAGAGAAATTTGTGTCTCATGAAAGGCAGCATTTATATGATTCAATCAATTGTGATTCCTTCTGGGTCACTGCCTACGTGTGTTGATGGGATTCCCAACTCTAGAGCCAGGACTATTTTGGGCACGTGGGTAGGAAAACAGTTTTTCTACAACACCCAGAGTACTCACTGAATCTAGTCATAGGCAGTGACATTTTTCCTCCAACCAAGTTATTTCCCAGATTATTCTCACTACCCACTGTTTTAGAGCATCAATCAATCTTAAGTCAAAATGAGCAAGTGAAACTAAGAACAAAATTTTATATAATAAATTAAATTTAAAAAAATCAGGGAATACAGACTCTCTAGGAACTAGAAGGCTGCAGGGATGACTGAGAAGTTTCATTCCTTCTATAGCAGAGAAGAAGGCAAAGGGAAGGACTGGAGGTGCTGACAGGGTTGTGGGGAAGAAAATGTGACATTAAAAGCTCTTGTCAAAAACAAACAAAGGCAAACAAAAAAAAGCCCTTCAAGAAAAATTGGCCTTAATTATTAATTCTGGATTGAACAACAAGAGCTGGAACTGTACTAGAGAAACAGGCCAAAGACAGTTTATTTTTTTCCCCTATGTAAAACCAGAAGTCATGCTTGTTCTTTATGGCTAGATCTGACCACAGGCCAACAATATGGTCATGAATCCCTAAATTGTTTCATCAATGGGTCAACCCCAAGGACTTGTTTACTAACTCAGTGAAATATTTTCCAAATATGTGCATTTTCTGTATTTGCTCTTTTTATGAATAGGGATGTTTGATTTTTAAAAGTGCCCTGTTATAATACTACAGAGCTACAGTAATCAAAACAGCTTGGTATTGGCACAAAAATAGTCATATGGATCAATGAAACAGAATAGAGAGCCCAGAAATACATCCACCCACCTATGGTCAATTAATCCTCAACAAGGAGGTAAGAATATATACCGGAGAAAAGACAGTCTCATCAACAAGAAGTTTTGAAAAGCTGGACAGCCCCATGTAAATCAGTGAAGTTAGAACATTCCCTCACACCATACAGAAAAATAAGCTCAAAATAGCTTAAAGACTTAAGTTTAAGACATGACACCATAAAACTCCTAGAAGAGAATATAAGTAAAACATTCTCTGACATAAATTGTAGCAATGTTTTGTTAGGTCAGTCTCCCAAGGCAAAAGAAATAAAAGCAAAAACAAATGGGACCTAATCAAACCTATAAGCTTTTGCATAGCAAAGGAAAGCATAAACAAAGTGAAGACAACCTAAGGATTTGGAGAAAATATTCATAAAATATGTGATCCATAAGGGATTTCCAAAATACACAAACAGCTCATACAATTCAATACCAAAAAAAACAAACAACCCAATCAAAACATGAGCATAAGACCTAAATAGACATTTTTCTTTCTCCATAGAAGACATACAGATGGCCAACAGGCACATGACAAGATGCTCAACGTCACTAATTATTAGAGAAATGCAAATCAAAACTACAGTGAGGTACCTCCTCATACCAGTCAGAATGGTCATTATCAAAAAGTCTACAAACAATAAATGCTGGAGAGGGTGTGGAGAAAAGGGAACCTTCCTGTACTGTTGGTGGGAAAGTAAATTGGTACAGCCACTATGAAGAACAGTATGGAGGTTCCTTAAAAAACTAAAAATGTTACCATATGATCCAGTAATGTCACTCCTGGTCATATATCCAGAAAAGACAAAAACTCATTCAAAAAGATACATGCACCCCAGTGTTCACAGCAGCACTATTTACAATAGCCAAGACCTGGAAGCAACCTGTCAATATCCATCGACAGATGACTGGATAAAGATGATGTGGTATACATAAACAATGGAATATTAGTCAGCCATAAAAATGAAATAATGCCATTTACAATAACATTGATGGACTTAGAGATTATCATAAGTGAAGTAAGTCAGAAAGACAGACATCATAGTATATTACTTATTTGTGAAATCTAAAAAAGTAACACAAATGAACTTATTTACATAGCAGAAACAGATAATCTTATGGTTATGAAAGGAGAAAGGAGGGAAGGATAAATTAGGAGTTTGGGATTAGCAGATACACACTAATATATACAAATTAGATAAACAATAAGGACTGACTGTAAATCACATGGAACTATATGAGATATCTTATAATAGACTATAATGGAAAAAAATCTGAAAAAATTGTATGTATAACTGTATCACTTTGCTGTACACCTGAAACTAACACAGTGTTGTAAATCAACTATATTTCAATTTTTTTTTTTTTAAATTGCACTGTTGAGGTGGAACATGTTGGGTTTGGAACTTTTCTTTAAGTCAGTTCAACTAGGAGCTGTCCTTGGCTATGTCCTGGTTTGGCTCTATTTTCTCAGATAAAGTGATCCAGCTCCCTAACCACTGACCTTTTCTTTTGGAACCAATGGCTCCGATATTGGCTCTATTACTTTTTTGGAAAGAAATGTTGTGTGCTCTGCTGCCTATCTTACACCTGCATATCCCATACCTGGCATTACAGTGACAGAGGGGACAGTTTGCATAGCAGGAGGAAGACTTTTGTTCTCAGAAGACCTGGATGTAGAATTTGGTTGTGAATCTGGCATCCATCATTGACTGTGTAGCTTGGTCATTTAATTTCTCTCAGCCTCAGTTTTCTCTTTGTACAGTAACACTCATAACACCTGTTTTCAGAGTGATTATGAGAGTTGAACTAAGATAATATATGGAAATCCCCTCACACATAATAAAGATTTAAAATAGTAGTATTAATATTTGCTGTCTTACTATCAGAGCAGGCAATTCTTGACCTAAATGCTAAAGAGATGGTTTTTGTTTTGTTTTATTTTTGTCTTTCAATCAAATCAAGACACTTGGACTTCTAATTCTCTGACCAGGGAATCAGTCCCCATCTGGATTCATTACTATTTTGAGAAAATCAATAAAATAATTTGGAGACTCTGCTCATAAATTTAATTACTCGAGTAGGTGCTTCATCATTTTTGGCTTCAGCATTCCCACTAGGGAAATGGATAATGAGATCTTTTCCCAACTTACTTCAAATTAAGTTCTAGATGAAAGTAATTTATTAGACAACTAATTTGTAACAAGAAAAGTTTTTTTTTAAATAATAAAAACAGACTTAAAAATTGTTGTTTTCTTGTGGCAAGCAGAAGGGCTCTGGGAAGTGCAGATGAATAGGCTACATTCTCAAATGAAAAAGAGGGGTGGGGTGGGGAGGAAACAAAGAGAGCTGATTGAAGCTATTATTTCCTACTTTAGAGCTGTGTGATTTAGAAAATGTCAGTTGAACTAGTTTTTAGTGTAACAACTGAATCTGATTCTAAAGGCTAGTCTCCTAGGCCTGCAAGTCTATCCTGAGACTGAAGGGTTAACCCAGCAGTGTCAACATCCCTCTGTCCTTGGATTCTGATCCTCAGATTATTTCGTGAACTTCAAGTACATGATTTTATGTATGTTTGTATGTATTAATTTATTTACTTTTCAAGTGAAGTTAGTCAAACCAGTTGACTTTATAGGTAGAAAAATTTGTATTTCAGCTGGAATTAAAGCTAATTCCAGCTTGCTTTTAAAGAAAGTCTATGAAAGGCAATTTACAGAACCATTTTCTTTTTGCCTGGTCTTTCTGACCCTGCCGTGTTCATAGGTGAATGTGGACCAACTGTAGTGCTTTTAGCCTTGCGGTCATCCACCATCGTCCACTCTAAAGTCAGCTACAGGGATCAGCAGTCAAGGCAAAGCTTTATACGATGGATTATAACCAACCCATGACTTCAATTTACAGTTGCTCCTCAGACACTCTCTTAAACTGAGCCAGCCTCACTTTCTTGAACTGGAGGTGTGGACTGTAACTGAGTATGACTGCATATGCCTTGATAATAATTGCTTAATAATAACTTGGCTAAAACTTGCTAATCATTTATTTAAACATGTCCTAAATGCAAAGTGCAATATAGGTGATTAAAACACTTTATTAAAATCATTCGTGTACTTAGTAATAAAAGGCTGATTATATACACACATGTATCTATGTATACACACATATCTAGATTCATACTTCAGATATATATTTATATCTCTATCTGTGTGTGTGTGTCTCAGGCAAAATACGTATATTTTTTTGCTTGGGTCTCAAGCTTATCATAAAAGTAGAAATTTATTCTGATTTAAGCATCTTTATTAGAAGTATTTCTAAATTATAGAGATTTAACTGTGAAAATAATTTATACCTTTGTAAGTATTTTCAGTTTTGGTTACAAGGAAAACAAATGACCTCTTAGTTCCATTCAGATATAAGCCACATAGTTACTGGGTCAACTTGGCAGCAAATCATCTGGCCTTTGGTGCCTTCAGCACGTGCTTCTCTGAGCTACAGCTTCCTAAAAGGTTAATGAATTCGCACACTCAAAGTACCTTGAGGTTTCCACATAATTGTATCATGTAAGTATTATAGTTTCTGAAAGGCATTTAAAATTTTTCTTTGTTCAAGGACACCAGAGCACTTCTTTGGAGGCAGCAGTTAAATAGACTTCTTAGCAACAGTAACATGTTAATATGTTAATATTATAATTAGGAATAAAATGATCACACATACAGTTAACACTAACATGTTCAAAACCACAGCATAACACAATGTTTGGTTTCCCTAATGCTTTAGAATTGGTCCATGATTAAAATAGGTTTGTTCATTTCTTTAAAAACTCAAAAGAGGTTATCTGTCAACCTGTTATAAAAGACACGACAAAGAAAAAATAAATAGATTCTTACCTATTAGCAATGTTGAACACAGGGCCACTTGAAGCATTTTGTAGGCCATGATCCTGTTTTGGAAAGAAAATATTTTATTTTAATTTAGACTGAGCAAAGGCTTAGGGCATATTGGGTACTTTCCGGGAATATGAAGCATTTCCTGCATACCTGGAGGCCCTATGAGCTGAGACAAGTCAGAAAGAGGCTGTTGCTTGAGAGACTTTTTTATATAACTCCTGCCTTTTACCCTTTGGACTTTTGAGACTGACTTTTTACAGGCTGTTCTTACATGGGCTGTGTATTTATTTACTAATTTTACCATCAACACAGACTAATGCAATGTAAAAAATCATACCCAAACAAAACAAAAAAGGTGGAAAAACTGGATCACTCATACACTGCTGTGAGGTTATAAAATAGTGCGGTCACTTTGGGAAAGAGTTTGCCAGTTTCTTATAAATCTGAGCATGCAGTTATCATACAACCTAGCAACTGCACTACTGGGCATTTATCTCAGTGAAATGAAAATTCATGTTCATATGAAAACCTGTATAAGAATGTTCATAGCAGCTTTATTAGTAATAGACAAAAGCTGGAAACAACCCAGAAGTCCTTTAACAGCTGAATGTTAAATGCACTGAGGTATGTTTATACCATGGATTATGACTCAGCAATAATTATACAAGTTATTGATAGACACAACAACTTGGACGAATCTCAAGGGAATTATGATGAGTTAAAAAAAGCCAATCTCAAATAGCTACTTACCTGTATGATTCCATTTATATAATCTTTTTGATATGACAAAATTATAAACGTTTTAGTAGTTGTTAGGGATTAAGGATGGAGCAGGGTAGGTGGGAGTGGTTATACAGGGGCAATATGAGAGACCCTTATGATGATTCTGTATTGTGACTATGCTGGTGGATACATGAACATAAACATGTGATAAAATTGCATAGAACTAAACATATCTCTCTCTCACACACACACACACACATACACACACACAAATGAGTACATATAAGGCTGGGGAACTCTGAATAGGATTGGTAGATATATCAGTGTCAATATTCTGGTTGTGATATTACACTGCATTATAGTTTTGCAAAATGTTACCATTGGGGGAAGCTGGGCGAAGAGCACACAGGATCTCTCTGTATTATTTCTTACAAGACTGAGTGATTCTACACATCCAAAAATAAAAAGTTTAATTAAGAACAAAGGAATGTTTAACAGTTTGGTGAATTCTGTTTGTTTCCAAAATTTGTTTTGTTTCCAAAAAACAAAAGTATATGATGACTATAACCAGAAAATTTTTTATTCTGATTTTTCAAACAATTACCTTTTTCAGTGGCATGACTAACAGTTAAATGAATAAACTCATCATCATAAATTTATTCTTAACAGCAAACTATGCATTTGTTGGCCAGTCTCATCAGGATTATGCAGTCTGTATCAAGTAGGGGTAGGGATATAAATGTGGTAGGAGGAAGCTTTCTTGATGTTTACCTTTGAATTGTAGAGTGGTTAGAAACCTGGATCTGACTAGGTGGGTATTGTGCCTCCAATTACTGATGCAAGGCTTGGGAAGACAGATATCTGGAAATAAGCACAGCAGAATCTTGGCAGCCTGCCCCATGTCTCCATCTAGAAAAGATTTTGTTGGTGCAACAACTACTGCCACATTTCTGTAAGTTTCCTTGTTTTTTACTTGATGGAGCCATATAAATATGCAGCTGTGTAACAGACAAAGAAGCTCAAGAAAACCCAAAGAAAAAATGCTTTCTTGTTATTTAAAGTTTACAGAATCAAAGGAGAAATTCATCTTCCTCGTTAATCCTCTTCCATAATTCTTCAGCTGTTGGACCTAAAATGAGCCTTGTCTGGAGAGGGGAATGGGAACAGGTTGCATTCTATCTCTTTTCTTTTACTTCTTTCACAGAATGGATCAGCAGTCCGTCATTTTGGCTAGGATGTGTATTGCAAGTATAAAACAATAATAGTTCTCTCATAAATTATATATGCAGTCTCTTTTAGTCCTCATGACAATTTTATGTGAAGATATTATTACCATTTTACAGATGGTAAACTGAGGCTCAGAGAGGTTTAGTGATTTGTTGAAGGAGTGTTCAGCCATTACAGGGTGAGACTGAAGCAGAAGTAAAGTGGCTGCTTACGCTCAGAGGCACAAGCCAATGAAATGAAACAAATTAGGTGAATGTGTGACCCTACTTTGGCCCATAGGTGAATGTGGCCTTGGCCACTCAGTTTCACAGTGGAGTTGTATTCGATCCTTCATGGGCCAGAAAATCTCATCCTTCCTAGTGAGCGGAGCCATCTCTGACCTCCCCACCCCCCAAATGAGATTTGTCTGCCCTTTCTTACATCAGCATATCTTCAGTACTTAGGCCATGCTTCCCTGTATTATGGTTATGTGTGTACATTTCAGTATTCTTG